TTGACACGTGCCATATTCTAACGCCTTCCAGTATCTGTTAGAAGGGACCCTCTAGCCTCTGACCACCACAGTAGCAAACTTATAACGTTCAAATTAAACGTAAAACGACATTAGCTAATAAATAAAACGGTAAAACGTAATCAAAATAACCAGTACTGCAGCATTGTCTTCCCCTCAACAAAAACCTTTCTAGAAACTGTTTTTCGACGAAGGTAAAGCAAATTTATAAGACTGTAGCTTAAGGTAAACTGTAATTATATTCTTATGAGCTTGGCTTTTTTTTTTCCCCCTATCATCAACTTTAATGTTTTGTTTTAACCAGTGGAGGAATATGTGTACAACTTTTGCGTCCTGCCTTGTCCATCTTATTTTCTGGCATTTCATGGCATTCTCTAGGGAGAATTTTCTAGAAGAAAATATCATGTTATTAATACTGCAATTAGTATATAATCATTACAATTTTTATAAGATTTAAATAAACATAACAAGGATGATGATCCATTTTAATCAAATGAAAAACATTTGCCCACCAATACAAAAATGATCGACATTCTGAATAGTATCTCGTTCATTCTAATTCATGGACTTTCAAATGAATTCCGTTAGTTTTTGCTTTACAGATTGTCAAAGATGTAACTTTTTTTCATATGTCTCGAATTAAAAAATCTCATGTTATTCTTTATCAATGGGAAATGGATCGTCCTATAAGACTCTATCAACGAAAGAAACAAATTTACGATAATGTGATGAAATTTCTTTTTATTAATAGATCCGACAACTATATTATTTGAAATCCACTCAAGATTGTAAATTCATGTTTCGATTCATCATAAATATCCGAATAAACTTTCAATTAATATAATGAAAAAAAAATCACATATGAAGTATAGCAAACCAAAACAAATCATAGATTATAGGCTGTAAATATGCAATTATTTGAACAATTAAAATCATCAAATCTAAATAGATCTGAAATTATTAAAAAATAAAAGAAAAAGTAAGGGAAATAAAGAAAAATTAAAGGAGGAGGAGCCGCAATCCTGGACGAAGATGATAAAAAAGAGAGGAGGGGTATTTTGCTTTTAAAGAAAGGTCAGAGTCTCAATTCAAACCAAATTACAAAGTAATTCTCACCTACATTACCAACCAAACTTTCAAACGGGACTCAATTCAACCCAAAAAAACAAATTATTTTATTGAATGTTAAGAAACAAAACCTATCTCATTACATGGAAAATGAATTTCAAACTTATTCAATAATATTCTTTTTTGAAAATTTTTAAAATTAAAGTAAGTATCAATAGCTATTATATGAATCTATTTTGATAATAAAAATAAATAAATAAAAAATCACATCGAAACTCCATATATATATATATATATTGATCTATAAAATAAATATTAATAGTTATTTTAAAGTACTTTAAAATTTCTCCCTTTGTCAACTATATTTGATTTTTTTTTTAATTAAAAAAAGACATTCGAAAAGTCTTGGATCAAAGTGGATACAGAAAAATTTTAGAATGAAAAATCAAACTCAGATCTATAAAGCATACTAAGAATATATATATTTTAAACTCTCTCTTTTTTTTCCCTTTGTATTTATCAATAAAAAGAAATTTCACCAAATAGTCTATTAGCGAACTACAAATAGTTACTATTTAGTTACTCTAAATTTCACCAAACGGTTTGGAAAATTTCATACACGGACTTTCCGCCGGCCTTTAGGTCCTAACAAGCCATTTGCTCAGCCCTCGTTCCATTTCAAAGATTCAAGAATTTGACCTTTCGGTACACAATACCCCTTTTCCAACATTCCAACGTGCATGGAGATTCGATCTTTTAAGCAATGGACAAAAGAAATGTACAGTCTTTTCTTCACCATGTGACACAAGGCAGGCACAATGGGAACGGCTTCAGGCCACTGTTGACACCGTCCACATGGAAACCTCACGGCGAGCAGCCGGTCCGTCTTGTTGTAGCTAAACTGATCCAACTTATTCGGTGGAAGAAAGGATAATATTTCTTTACCTTCTTATGCTTAAAGTCAATTGTGGATAATTATGGCATTTGGAAGAATTCGTCCATGCTTTGGACATATTTGGGTTTGTGATTGGGTTGGCAAACCATCATTCTTTTCAGGTTCAAAGTGCTGCTCTATGTTGAGATAAAATTCCTCCGAAGTGAAAAAAAAGTCAAGATGTAATCCATGAAAAAATGATTCTTGAATCCCAAAAGTAGTGGTTGTACCTATCAAAGAAAACGGGTGGTAGACTGTATGTTTTGCTTCATGGGCTGGGCTGGTGGGATCTCCAAATTTTACTGTTGGCCCAAAATGGTCTAATGAATTTTGATCTATAAACTCTTAAGAATTGCATAGACCAGTTATAAACCATGTTACTTTAATTTAATCTACTATTATTAGGACGGGTTTGCTATTACTGCTTCAAGACATTATGATTATAGTCACTTCAGCTTACGAATAAATTTTACTGTTGGCCCAAAATGTTCTAAGGAATTTTGATCTATAAATTCTATAAAACATGTTACTCTAATTTAATATACTATTATTAGGAGGGGTTAGCTATTATATTATAATTATAGCGTTTTCAGTTTACGAAATAATAAGATAGCATTTACGATACCATAAGTTTTTATAATCACTTAAAAATGGTGTTTTTTTTACAATTTAAATAATATATTTTTTTTATCTTTGAAGATGGTTAGAATTTTTTTTATTAAAATTATACTTAATTATTCGTAATTATTATAATTACAAAACAATTAGCTAAATTACGAAAAGATAAGATTTTTTTATAGTTCAATAAGTTGAATCTATTTAACAATTCGTAATCACTTATTTGTTATGAGGTGAATAATATATTTTTTTGAAATAATAATATATTTTTTGAATCATAATTGTACAATAATATTAGTAATTAATATAATTATGAGATAATTAGTTAAGTTACCAAGTAACAAGATAAATTATTTTGATAGAATAAGTAAAAATATTTAGTAGTATGTAACTTCAGAACACTATAATTATAATGTCTTTAAATAACCATATAATTGCCAATTTTTTTTTATTTAATTTCTTCGTAATTCAATTTTTAAATATTTTGGGGTGTAAAGGTGATGGTTGCCAATTTGCCGATTGCCATGGCCAGTTTGTGATTTTTCCTGCAGTTGGAAAATGGAAAGGACGGTGAAGAAGCGGGCCTACTCCAGCCAACCCAACTCTCACACACTGGATTGCCTTATTGGTCCAACTGGGTGGCCCACTTTAGGCCTGGCTTTCTTTTTCTTTTTTTTTTCCTCCCTATTTTTTTTTCTGAATTTTTATGTTTTTTTATTTATTTTCTGAAAATTCTTGAAATTGATTCTTCATTTTTTTCTCTTTATTTTTCAACAATCTCTCCATCTTGATATTTGATTCTTTTTGTTAATAGGCTTAAACGCACAGTAATAGGAAAGTAATTCGGATATAGCTTTCCTTATCAATTGGTTTGTTTTTTACAAATACTTTAGGGTTCAAATTTACAAGATTTACCATTTAAATGTCTGTGATTTGTTTTCATATTTAAAAAACACATAATTGTCAGTGAGTTGTACTTCAACTGGTATTAATATTTGTCCTCTCTTCAAAGAGTCTCGAGTTCAAACTTTCCATTTTTTTAAAAAAAAATTATTAAAAAAATAAAAAAAATTCCTTGTTCCCTGCAGGCCGCAGCAACAATGTGTGCCGGCATCTAAGCAAGTACTAATACGTCCAGGGTTGCAAAATGAAAACTCCATTTTCTCACCTGTTAAAGTCATTTTTTTTACTTTAACTAGCATACCAATCAGTTTAATGATGAATTTTACTCTAATTTGATTGTAATTTGATAATTTTAAATCCATAGTACTAAATTGTATAATTTGAATTCTAAACTATTAAAAATTAAATAAATGTGATACAAATTGTTTAATCTCTCGTTATTTGTAACGATAATTTGAGTTAATCGTTATTTGAAATGTCAAAACGACATTTTTTTGATATTTTTCTGTTAATTATATTTTTTAAAATATTTTTAACCTCCTAATTTTAATTTTTTTTAACTTTTTTTATAAAATATTATAAATATTTTATAAAATATATATAAAAATATTTTTAACATCTTAAATTTGATTTTTTTAAAAAAATTCTTATAAAATGTTATTGTAAAAAAATATAATTAACATTACATAATTTCAGGCTTGAAATTTTTTTTATAAGTTAAAATGAGCATAATTAAGGGTTGACCCCTAATTTTATAAATTATAAAAAAAATATTTCTTTTATAAAATGGTTATAATATTTTATAAAAAAAAAGTTCAAAATTAGGGGGTTAAAAATATTTATAATGTTTTATAAGAAAAAGGTTTTTTAAAAAAGTTCAAAATTAGAAGGTTAAAAATACTTTTAAAAAATATATATATTTAAATATAATTAATAGCATTATGTCGTTTTAGCATTCTAATGTAATAGTCAACATAATAAAAATTAAGCAATTTGGATTACATTTACCTAATCTCTATTATTTTAGGTTTTAAATTATAGAATTTGATACTATGAGTTAAAAATTATGAAATCAAAATAGAATGGAACCAAAGTTTACCATTAAACCCATACCAAACTGAAATGAATAAAAAGTACAAACTTTGATGCATTGAAATTTCACTTTGCTACAAATATTTGCATTCTTTAATTCTTTATCAGAAAGATAAAGGACTGCCAATATTTGCAGCAATCTTTGTCCTTCATTAGATAATAATTAATCAAATCAAACCATGGACTACAATAACAATGGCATTGTAATGTTCGTCAATTGTTAGCATTCAAGAACCCTGTTCATTCCTTTCATTGAGTCTCTACCCTCTATATAAATCTTCCAAAACCATCAACATCATCCAAATATTACAAATTCCATATCAGACTATAGAATCTCTACCCTCTTCACCACTTCAAGTTCTTCATCATGGCCTCGGCTTCTTCCACCTTCAAATTCTTCTCATTGCTAGTAGCCTCCTTCGCTGTTGTCCAAATAGCTATTGCCGGGGACCCAGATATTGTTTCAGACTTCTTAGTCCCACCAAATGTAACCACAGTTGATGGATCATTCTTCACATTCACTGGCATGCGTTCCCTTGTTGGTGCACAACCACCTTCAGCTTTCAAGGTCTCGAAAGTAAGCGCAGCTGAATTCCCTGCTCTTATTGGTCAAAGTGTTTCGTATGCAGTCCTTCAATTCCCGGCTGGCACTACTAATCCACCTCACACTCATCCTCGCTCAGCTGAGCTCCTGTTCGTTGTTGGTGGCTCTCTTCAGGTAGGGTTCGTTGACACAACCAACAAGCTCTTCACCCAGACACTACAGGCTGGTGACATGTTCATATTCCCCAAGGGGCTTGTCCACTTCCAATACAACGCAGATGCTCAGAATCCAGCTTTGGCAGTTTCTGCTTTTGGGAGTTCTAGTGCAGGGACTGTGTCGCTTCCTACCACCCTTTTCGCCACCAGCATTGAAGATAACATCTTGGCTAAGGCCTTCAACACTGATGTTGCCACCATTCAAGCTCTCAAGGCTGGTCTTGCACCTAAGCCTTGAGGATGGGCTTCATTACCATTCTTTCCTTGTTATTCCTCTTATATTTTACTTTCCTCCTATATTTATTCTTTTGAAGATTTGTATTGAATAATCGCCCCAATAGTCCAGGAGGCCGGTGCATATTGTTCATTTGTTCTTTGCTTAATTCGATTGCTTGTCTCAATTTCTTGTTTCACAGTAATAATTATTCTCTATAACCCATTTTTTGAATCTTCACTGGAACTGTAAAGTTCGTATCTTCCATAATGATGTTGCTGATGATCACGATATTAACTAGAGCATTCATGCTCTCTGCAGTTACACTTGTTTAATTAAGAAGTTCTAAGTAATGATGTACCAAAAGTACTGTTACTCATTTTTTTCTTGAACCTGGAAGTGAAATATTTCAGATTTTCATCAGATTGCATGAGAAAAGTTTGTTGAACTGTTAGTGAACCAAGAGGGTTAAGGAAGCTTAGGCCCTTCTGTGTGAGAACTTCTTTAATGTTAAATCATTGATACAACGCACACACATCAAACCAATATTTTCATGCCAGGATTAAACTGTTATTAACAAGCAAAACTATGTTGAAATGAAGGCTCCTCGGTTCGAATAAATAATTATTGCCTGATGAAGAAATTTTCTCAGAGCAGGGTATGACCGATATGAAGGATTTGCAAGGTGAATTAGTTTGTCCAAGTTGTGGCATTCAATGACATTCTGGAGTGCCCCAATTCAAATGGAAGAGGCTGAAAGGCAATAAAAATATTAATGCAGATGCTGTTCGATGCAGTTCCGCTCAAGATTCCCAGTCTGTTTCTGATTTGGTAAACAATTTATTCCCTTAGAATGAAGCAATTAATGTTTCTTCGGACATTGATACGTTTGGGCTCTTAATGACTGCCCTGAAAGTTACAGGACCAAAGAAATTACTCCAAATGTTTCTTTCAGACATGTTTCTGCAATTTGTCAACACAATAGGCATTTTGTTTTATGAAGGTGCAAAGTACACCATAAACTACTGAGAATTTCATTAATTTCTTGGCAACTCTATTTTCTTTTCCCTCGTGTCTTTGGTAATGGAAATTGGAAGATGAACTGCATTAATACCGTCCTGTTATAATCACAGATTTCATTGAAAGGGAAGCTCTCAAATTTTCACTTTTTCTACCTCCAACTTCGCCACTCTGCTCTGAAATCATCAGGACCATACGTTTAATTGCATAATAGGCAAACACATAAACATAGGGACAAAAAGAGTAACGAAAACACTAATCCAGTCCATTGTTGAGGAGAAAACACATAACAAAATCTCAAATATTCTGCCATTTAAACTAGCAAAACCTCTTGATTCCACTATTTACATATAGTTCTCCTCCTATTTTTTTCCAACTCCCTGTTTTATATGCACATAAATAACTTTATGGCATAACTGGGGCCAATACAGCATTCCTCATTAAACATATTAACTAAGAGAATCCATGCTCATAAATCGTACCTACTAGAGTACTGGAATACTAATTTCCTTGATTAATTATATTAATGAACTATGAATTGCTAGTGCATGCATTTGAATCAAGCAGAAGGCACGGGGTAGTATTTCCCGTTACACATGCACCTGTAAACAATAGGGCAAGATTCTGCTACGGAGCACTTGAAACTCACCATCACCCTCTTGCATGGAGAGCAAGGTCCACAGGCATGAGAGCAATCTGGCAAGCTTGATCCTGTAGGATAGAACTCCATTCCAAGCTCTTCTCTTGCTCCTTCCTACACATATTAATGTACATTGCCAAAAGACTAAACAAATTAATACCCTTGCTCATGACCACAAATTATCTTATAGAATCATAAATTTCTCTAGCAACATTCACAAATTAACAGTTATAATTTCTGAAAAACAAACCTTGGGGAAATCATGACCTTCATCCCCGTCTGAAGCACCTTCCTTGCGATAGCTGGACTTGGTATCTATCAAAATAGTTAAAAAATAAATATAGAAATTACGCTTCTGATAACTTTATGATTATTTGAGAAAAAAGTTCCTGTCCTATGATTATAACATTTTGGAAGTGAAAATAAGAGTATGGTCATTTTGCTCTGAACCCAAAAGAGAAAAGAAACGGTAAACTAAGGTGCACTTACAATGATGAGGTCGGAGGCTTTCACCAACCATGAAGACCATAAAAATAAGCATAACAAGAAAAGATTTGTGGGCTCCAACTAAGAACTTCATTGCCTCCTTTTGAGAAATTGATCAAGAAATACTTATATCATAAAAAAAGAAATAGACAAAGTAAGAAGAAATCTTGCAAGAAAGAAGTTGATCTTGAGGGGATTTGATGATTAACTAGGTAAACATACAAATTTATAAAGGAGGGAAAGGAGATGGTTTTAAATGTAAATTGAAGTACACCTGATACACTTCACATGATCCACGGCTATCTTCATGAAGGTTTCACATGTTTTGGTGAGTCCATAAAAAGAAACAAAAAAAATATAGATATCAAAGCTTTAAATGAACCTTCACAAAACGGATATTTAAAATTAAAAGTACAAATTTTGAAACCTGCATTCAATTCTCAGCACTTGAAACAGACTGCCTATCTGTATAGTCAACTAATACTGTCAATTTCTTTGTGTAATCTCTCTATCTCTTGCTCTCTTTTTTCTTTTGATTTTTGGACGGTAGCATTTTCATGTTACCTCTCTTATCCGATTGGAGTAAAACTATTCATAGCCCTTAACTATTGGGCCTGCAGTATTAGACTTGTAATTCTAATAATACTTTCGACTTGTAATTCTTAGTTTAAGTGTGAGTTAAATTTTACGTCGCAAGAAAAAAATATTTCCTTGTGAATGCATGCAGTAGTTTGGTTGTGCATAACTTATTTAAAACCTGACAGAAGTCCTGTCAGGACTTGTTCTTTTATGTGCATTTACTAAATGAGTATGAACAATATTATCATTTAGGATTCTAGCATTTAAACGGTTTGAGCTTTAAATTGGGTACAGGAGACTTTAGCTAGTTCACGTGTAACAGTCAACAATATATAGAAGGAAGTTCCTATTCCTGTTCATAGATGGGATCTGTGAATGGGTCCTATTGAAGAAGGCCTGCCACAAACGTGAAGGTCAGAGCTGTGGCTTAAATGAACTTCTTTTACAGTTTCTATGCCTTCATGGATACTTGTCGTCTCCTTTATTGTTGTTCCCATGTATCCCATTGTTCCAGCCACGCAAGTGTACATGAGGAATGACTGACTGCTGATGCCTGATAGTATGGGTATGTTAACAGGTTAAAACTGATTAGGAGACCAAACAGAGGGTAGAAAGAGTTAACTGTACGTCTGTACATACATAGGCATCCGGAGGCTAGAAAGAGAGTAGTATTAATGTAGGAAGCAACAAAAAGCTTCGGTGGCTTGTGAAAATCACCGAATAAAAAAAGAGTTCCCAAACAAAGAAACATTTTTCAAATTGCTATGAAATCTGTTTATGTTTATGCAAGAAACAATTTGACGAACCAAATCAATTTTGGCAAATAGAGGAAACGAAAGCAAATGCAACTCAATAACCAAGGTAGGTAAAATGGAAGTAGTCTAAAGGGTTCCAATGAGTGCGAGGCGGGTTTCAGCTTTCTAAACTCAAAAGGTTAATGGTATAAATTTTTCTGAATTTTAAATTATTTGAGAATTGGTTTTTTAACTTTTAATTTTGAGTTGGACCTTCTTCTAACTATTTTTAATTTAAAATTAGATCATTCTATTGGATTTTTATCAATTCTAACGATGAAAATATGTGACTTGTACGTGATTAATTTTTTAAATTTTCTTAACAACTAAAAATGTGTTAACACTTATGAATGTTTTGTGTTGCTCCTAACACATAAAAAAATAACATAATTAAATGATATAAATTCACACGGTAAATAAATAAATTTGTCATGAATTAAGATGAATAAAGAACTATAATTTTTTACCTTAACCATTAGGAAAATTAAAAATTAAAATCATGTTACCATGTTTCATGGTATATAAGATAATTGAACCATCAAAATAGTTTTACCGGAATTATTAGGTGGCTATCTTAAGGCACAATTAGATTACTTTCTTGAAACGATACGTACCGTATGCGGAATTTATCCGATGTAACAAATCAAATATATGTTGCGCACGTTAGAAAACGAATAAAGCAAAAGAATAGAGTAGAATAATGAAGAACAATCACAAGACATAGAGATTTTACATGGTTCGCCAACGGTGCTTACTCCACGATCGCACTAGGATTTTTTATTAGTTTTGGTCAAGTGATCGCTATAAATACAAGCGATGTTACCTCTATTTATAGTGTGGACAATTAGAGTTATAAGAAAAATGCCCAACGAAACTATACACTCAGCTCAATATTTTGAAGACCTTTTAGGGGCTTCACCCTCTAGCCCCTATAAGGACGTCGCTCCTTTGCCCCTCGCTTGTTAACCGACTAGCGAGACCATCGTGCTAGATTCGTATAACGTCTTATACTATGGGCCTCCATCTACATCGGTCTTCATAATTTAACAATCTCTCACTCGGAGACTAATCTCTAAAATAACACTAAACCTCTTGCAACTATCCATTTTTTCAACCAACTTCAAGCCCTCCTAGTGCAAGTGCTTTATCATCACCAATCATGAAGGCTAATTGAGGTTATGCAAAGCCTCAACTTATCAATGGTAACTCGTCGGGGTCAACATGTTAGCTGGATTCTCCAATCCTAAAATCTTGTTCAAATATATTACCCTATCATACAACAACTCTCGGATATAATGATATTTCAAATGAATATGTTTGTTTTTTGCATAAAATACTTGGATTCTTAGCAAGATGAATTGCACTTTAATTGTCACTAAAAAGCTCACTGTCATCTTATGCCTTACCTACTTTCTTCATAAAGTTCTTCAACCGGACTATTTCTTTACTAGCTTTTGAGATAGCCATATATTCGAGCGTTAGTAGTGGAAAGAATAACACACTTCGAATTTGAGATACCTAACTCACAACAAGTATCACTCAAAGTAAAAATATAAATTGTTGTGCTCTTTCCATTATTTAGATCACCTCATAAATCTATATCAACAAATCTTTATAGAAAAATATTATTATTCTTAAAATAAAAGGTCATACTCGAAGTATATTTCGGATAAAAAAGAGTTTATTTTACTATTTTTCGATGGTTTTTTTCCCAAGATTTGCTATGTGCCAACTAATAACTCCCATTACATGAGCTATATCAGGTTTTGTGCAAACTATAACATACATTAGACTTCCAACTATCGATGTATAAGGGATTGTGACATTTCTTTTTGCTTGTCGGCTATCTTTGGTGATTGTTCATTTGAAAACCTAAGGTGGCTTACCGGAGAAGTGCTTCGATCTTTCCATCCCGATGGTTGAATCTTCTCGGTACTTTCGAATGTACTTTTCTTGAGATAAAGTCAATGTACCTTTTGATCTATCTCTATTGATTCTCATTCTAAGTATTTATTTTACGAGTCTCAAACCCTTTATCTCAAACTATTCTACTAACTCGTTGCTTAAGCTTATTGATTTCTTTCAATTTAGATCATTTAACAAGTATATCATCAACATATAAGAGTAAAATAAGATAGCAGTCATCAAACCTCTTGATATAATAATAATGATCTATCTTACATCTCTTGAAATCATAGTCACTCATGAATCCATCAAACTTTTTGTATCGTTACCTAGGAGCTTGTTTCAAATCATATAGACTTTTTTACAACTTAAATATAAGTTTTTTCTTTTTGGAACTTTTCAAAGCCTTCTAGTTATACCATATAGATGTCTTCCTCAAAGTCACCATGTAGAAAAGTATTTTTAACATCTAACTCGCTCTATATGTAAATGTTCTATAACAACAATACTCAACACTAGCCTAATAATAGTCATCTTGACTACGGGAGAAAAAATCTCGTAGTAATCAATTTTTTCTTTCTATTGAAAGCCTTTTATAACTAATCTTTCCTTGTATCATTTACCACCATCATAATCTTTTTTGACCTTGTATATCCACTTGTTGTGTATAACTTTTTTCCCTTCGGTAACACGTAGTTAAAGTCTATGTTTGTTTTTTTCAAGAGACCTCATCTCTTCTTTCATGGCTAACTCCCACTTGACGAATCTTTTACCTGTATTGATTCACTAAATAAGTCTAATTCTCTAACATCAGTAAAAAAGTAAATAGTTCAAGGAAGATGAATACCTTTAAATGGGTCCGGACACTCTATCGGATCTCCTTAGCTGAAGAGTATAAGTTATTGGTTCTAGTTCAGCTTTAGCTTCCCCATCCCCGTCATCCGCATTTTAAATCCTAGATATATCCTCTAAAATCTCTTCCAAATCAGATTTCTTACTTGTTTCTAAATAGTTTCTTATACTCTTAGAATCTGTCTCAAGTATGTCCTTATATAATATAATTTCATTAAAGGTCACATCCCTATGTCTTATGATCTTTTTATTCGAATCATCTTAAAATTGATTACCAAAACCATCGGATCCATAACAAATAAAGTAACACTTTTTAGCTTTAGGATCAAGCTTATCTCTATCATTAGATCCTATATGTATATATGAAACACAATAAAAATTTCTCAAGGAAATTTACCTTCTTTCCCGATCATACTTCCTCGGGTAATTTAAAGCCCAATGGAATTAAGGGTCTTTTATTTATGAGGTAAGTCGTTGTATTCACTACATCGATCTAGAATGCTTTGAGTGAATCGAATGCAATCTCATACTTCTTTCTCACTCATTCAAAGTTCTATTTATCCTTTTAACAACATCATTTTGCTCGATGTCATAAGAACTATCTTAATAATTTTAATTCCTATTATCTAAATCTTTGAATTTTGTGCTAACATACTCTCCTCCATTATATAAATTCAAGGCTTTGATTTTCAACTTCAGCCTTCCACCTTTTGAATATAATAAACACATTAGATTTATTTTTCAAAAAATAAATCCATACTTTTCCGGTGGAGTTTTCAATGAAGGTGATATAATATTGTGAGTCTTCAAGAAAAGTCATAGAGTGGCCCCCATACATCCGTATGCTCCAGTTTTAGCTTTCCTTCTTTTAATGATCCGTCACACTTTAGAAAATGAACTCTCTTTTGCTTTCCATAGATGCAAGCCTCACATAAGCCAACATCAACATGTTTTAATCTTGGTAATTTTCCTTTTGATGCTAACTATTTCAAACCTTTTTCACTCATGTGCCCAAGCCTTTGGTGCCATCATATTAAATCATCATCACCATCAAAATTAACCACCATTGTGGTATCCCCTGTTATTATAATTTTGTATAAATTTTCAACCTTACTATCTCATGTTACAACCATATTCTCATTTGTTATCTTTCATGATCCACTCCTAAATACTATTGTGTAATCAATATCATCGAGTTTACTCATAAAAATCGATTTTTTTCGAGACCTAGAATATGTCTAAAATTTTATAGTTTTCATTACATTCCGTTGACAATTTTGATACTAACCTCACATTTCTCTAAAATGTCTAGAGATTCATCATTTGCAAGATAAACCTTCCTAAAATTTCTTTCAACATATTTCTATAGGAAATTTTTACATGGAGTCAAACGAAATGACACACTTGAGTCTAGAATCCACACTCAATAGGATTGTCCATATTGTAAATTAATGCATCTATAATTTCATCACTCATTGCATGTATAAAGTCATCATCCTAATTCTTCTATTATTGAGAGCCTTACATTAATTTTTAAAGTGTCATTTCTTATCGTCGATCCAGTAAGTGATCTCTTTGAAGTTTTTACATTTTTCTCTCGCCTTTTGATTTTGACTCGCTATGACCATGATTCTAACCTTACTAAAATTCCCTTCCTCTGCTATCAATACTCAAAATAGAGCTTGAAAATTCTACTCGACTCACTTTTGTGAAGATCTTCATTGACCATCAAATCTTGGACATCATCCGATTTTAGTTTCTCATTCTTTAATGAACTAGCTACTCGTCGTTACTATTTCGGACTAGCTATCGGATAGATAAGACAACAAAATCAATACTTGAACTTTATCATCAAGCATAATGCCTATTGGCTCTAATTGACTAATCAACACATTAGTTTTATTGATGTGATTAGTTACGGATGTACCTTCTATCATCTTTAGATTAAATAATTGACCCATCAAAAATACCTTATTGAGGTAGATGACTTCTCATACATATTTGATAACATTGTCATCATATCTATTGTGGTCTTTTCTTTTATGATGTTGAAAGTAATGTTTCACATCAAGGTCAATAGAAATCAATAGAGAAGCACCCAAAGTCTATCGATCAAACAAAACTCAATCAACATCTTTCATCTCCTTTGGCTTTTTCCTTAATAAGGGTTCGTGTAGCTTCTTATGATATAGATAATCTTCAATCTATATCTTTTCGATCCCAAAGTATTTTTCATCGAACTTATCAATCTTGACTTTTTCTTCTTCTAACATCGCTTCTCCTTACAACACTAACCTAGGGTTTTGATAGCGGTTGTTAGAAAACAATTCAAGTAAAAGAATATAGTAGAATAATAAAGAATAATCACATAATATAAAAATTTTACGTGATTTGACAATGATGCTCGCTCCATGGCCGTAAACCCATTTTCATTTTATTAGTATTGCATTTTAAATTTAAAATTTTTCTTTGATCACATTTGTTTGTGTGTGCTCCTCCCCACCATTCAAGTGTTTTCTATTTTATGTGTAATACCCGATATCCGTTAAAAATCGTTATTAAATAAATTTAAGGATATTAAAAGCATATGAAAAATGCTTTAAGGGCATGAAATTAATCATTAAAGGGTTGCTAGAATGTTTAGAGCGAGTTAAAATAGTCTTTTCATGCTCGGTGTATATTTTGTTGATTTTGCGATGCATGAATAATGATTTTTATGTGAATTAATTAATTCAAGCATGTTAGGTGTGCATAAAAAATATTTTATTTGCATAGAATGTTTGCTAGAGGGGTGTTGGATTATTTGATATTGTTGGATGAATTTTCCGATATTATGTGACTATTTTATTTGAACTTTATTGTGCATGAATAGTATTTTTGAGGTAAATTAATTAATTTAAGTGCTTTAAAGGTATAAGAAAATTATCCAATGGGCATAGAAAAACCATTTAGGATGTGTAGAAATATTTAATAAACTTAGATGAATTTTTTCATATATAAGGAATATTTTCTATAGGAAATAGTGTATTTTTACATTAAACAATTAATTAAAAGGCTAAAATAGGTGTGTAAAAAATCATGTGAATGATGATTAAATTATTTTAGGAAGAATTTCAATTTTTCCATGTATTGGACATGCCCAAATACAAAAAAGATTTTTTAGAATGATTTATGATGAGAATTTTATGACATGAGAACAAATTTTTAAAAGACATGCATATAATTTATCATATGCATTTCACTTACATACACATCATGCATAGATTAACTTACCGAGCTATCACTCATCTAGTTTCTTATGGTGTAGACTTTTTAGGTAATAATGACACATTTCTTTGCTGAAGCGATTACCGAGGGATCCGTGCACCATGTATATTTTGGATGTGGTTTCGACGAGTAAAGTGGACCTCTTTCAAGTAATCATCTTTCTAGTGCTTGTTGTTATATAGTGTGTACTAGGTATGACGACTTTATTCTATGCAATAATTAAAGTTACGAATAAGTAGAACAAAAGTTGAAAATGTGATGTAGATATAAGCCTTTTTTATAGTATATGGCATAAGTTGTTCTGTACTTAAATAGATGTAGTTGTATATAACTAAACTTGAAACGAATTAGTATTAATGGAGTGACTTAGTTATAGTTAGTATTAGTTTCTTTTAGCTAATTCTTTATGTATGAATGCCAATAATAAATTATGATCCTTAAATTAATGAGTAAAATAATAATAATAAAAGGGTAATTAAGATGAATAAAAGGAATCTAGAATCAAATAACAAGTAACTAATAAATAAATTCTTATAAATTAATAAAAAAAGGAAATTGGGAAAACCGAATGTCATATATCCAATCCATTCAGTCCAAGTGTTTTAAATAAAATAAGAAGATGTAAAAAATTCATAGCGCATTTTGGACTGAACCATATGACCTATTTGTTATTTATAGGTTTCCGCAACGTAGTCCATACTTAGTAATGTTATAAGAAAACCATAGTATCTTATTAGCTTGTATTCATTATACTTCGAATGTAGGTCAATGACGATAATATTCTCGACCTAAGAGGTCATAGTTTGGGAGTGTTATATTATGTCACCAAGAAATTTGTTAAAGTTGGGATTAAAAACCTACACTTAAAATTTTCAATAGATAGAAATTGCAACTTGGGAGGAATATTGAACAAAATGAGACAACATAGAGGGAAAATTTACAAAAATTTTAATATAAGGAGGAAATTTAATAATTTAATTTTTTTGATAAAAAAAGAGAAATTAGTATTTTGTCTATGTTATTTTTGAAAAGTAATTTCTCAATTATTATGAATAAAAGTAAAAAAGCCTCATTTCCTAGATGCCGTCTCAAAGTTCTTTCAAAAGAACAAACTCAAACGACGGGCCCTTCACTTTCCCCGAAAGCCCATCAACTTAAAATCCAAACTCTCAGCCCAAAATTCACTGAGACTGGTTTCCCCTCTTCTTCCTCCTCCTGCTCCCTTCACAATTCCACATTTCTCAGTGCACAAACAGCAGCAGCAGCGGCAACAACAACAAAAAAAACGATCAAGTTTAAAGCTTGATGTTCTCTTTGGTAAGCTAATACTTTCACTCTTTTCATTTGAATCAAAAAATCATCAAAAGAACCAATTCAAGAACAAACCCTATTACATTTGATCAATACTATGAGATTTTCGCTGCTTAGAAGAAGAAAGTTTTTATCGTTATGCACTAACCCATCTGCCGCACAAAAATTTTACACAAATCCCACTTCAATAACCAAAACCGAACAAAATCCTTGTCCCCAAAACCCTCTCACACAAAACCCACTCGGGGTTCTACAATTTTATGCCTTATTTTCAACACAAGCTTCTAAATTCCTTGAATATGAGATGCCTTCTGTTACTTGGGGTGCAGTTCAAGGTAAAAAAGAGAAGCTTGTTAATCGAGTTATAATTTGTGATTATCTTAAGAGTTTAGGGATAATTCCTGATGAATTGGAAAGTGTAGAACTTCCGTCGACTGTTGAGATTATGAAAGAGCGTGTCGAGTTTTTGCAGAGGTTGGGATTGACTATTGATGATATTAATGAGTATCCTTTAATGTTAGGTTGTAGTGTGAGGAAAAACATTATACCGGTGTTAGGTTATTTGGAAAAGATTGGCATTGGTCGGTCTAAACTTGGGGAGTTTGTTAAGAGTTATCCGCAGGTGTTGCACACGAGTGTAGTTGTTGAGTTGCAGCCTGTTATTAAGTTTCTTCGGGGGTTGGATGTTGAAAAGCAGGATATTGGATTTGTTTTGCAGAAGTATCCCGAGCTTCTTGGGTTTAAGATTGAAGGGACAATGAGTACTTCTGTGGCTTATTTAGTTAGTATAGGTGTTAGTCCTAGAGATATTGGACCAATGGTAACACAATATCCGTACTTTTTGGGGATGAGAGTGGGGACTATGATTAAGCCGTTTGTTGATTATTTGGTTTCTTTAGGTTTGCCAAAGAAAATAGTGGCCCGGATGTTGGAGAAAAGGGCGTACTTACTTCGATATGATCTTCAAGAGACTGTTAAGCCAAATGTGGATTGTTTGATTAGTTTTGGGATTAGGAGGGAAGCACTTGCTTCCATTATAGCACAGTATCCACAAATTATGGGCCTGCCTTTGAAAGCTAAGCTCTCTTCTCAGCAGTATTTCTTTAACTTGAAAATGAAGATTGATCCTGAAGGGTTTGCCAGAGTGATAGAGAAAATGCCACAAATTGTTAGCCTTAACCAAAATGTGATCATGAAACCTGTTCAGTTCCTTTTGGAGCGAGCAATTGCATATGAGGATGTTGCTAAGATGGTTATAAAATGCCCACAGTTACTTGCATTGAGAGTTCCACTAATGAAGAACAGCTATTACTTTTTCAAGAGTGAAATGGGAAGGCCAGTGAAAGAGCTCGTGGAATTCCCGGAATATTTTACTTACAGCTTGGAATCTAGAATAAAGCCCAGGTACCAGATGCTAAAAAGCAAGGGGATCAGGTCTTCACTGAATTGGTTCCTCAATTGTAGTGATAAAAGATTTGAGGAGAGGTTAGAAGGTGATTATATTGAATCAGAGAGTCTTGGTCCATCATTTTGTTTGGGTGGGAAGTTAGAACTACCAGGGTGCGAGATTCTGTCAGATGAGGAAGACGAGAGCGATGATGAAGATGAAGCACTTTTCGGGCGCACAGTTTCTCTTTAATTTTTCATTTTAGTTATATCAATGAATCATATCAAATTAAATCAATGACATAGGTATCAAGCGATGCTAGTGCTTTCGCCTATTATCCTTATCTCTGCAATGTTTCAAGTTTGAATTTTCAGCTGGTGAAGTTTCTTTTTGTACTCTGTTCATAACAAGATCTGCAGGTGTAGTTATGAAATCCCGAGGTTTGCTCATATTATGCCACTCAAACCATGTGTCAGACATATTTCTATGCTTCATGGCTTAGTGACTAAAAATATCGAATTCTGATTCCTTAGTAGGTGCACAGAAGAACCTGTTGCTGTAATATTTGTTTCACCCTGGCTCCTTTAACTTTGCCATTATATTCCTGTATGAACCAAACTGTTGATAGAGTAATAATATTAATATGAACGTGCATTCCAATCTTCATGCACATGTTGGTTTGAATCCAAATTGCTTAGCGATGACAGGAAGCCGTACATAAAACTGCCATGTGAAGCTTCTGCTTTGTCCTCGTGGCACTTTATATTCTGAAGTTGAATCTGTTTACTTGTGGGTGTCATTTGCATTTGAAGATTAGCTGGCATTCCACCTAGCTGCCGATTACTTGTTTAATGCTCATTTTGCATTAGTATTTTAGCGGAAATGTAATTTCCTTTGGGAAAATTTGTATGACCACACAATTCGAGGGGATGGCAAACATGAAAAGTGCGCTGTATTTTGTAGGCTGGTGAGTGCAGATGCAGGTTTTGATGCTTGTTTTTTGTAAAGCTGAACGATGTTCATGTAAATTCAGTGTTCGTGTTTTTGTTTTTTGTGCCTATTGAGTTAGTTACAATCTATTTCTGTCTCGGTTGCTTTCAATGATCAAGAATGTTATTCATGATTTTTTTTCATTTTTGATGTCGTCGTTTTAATCAAATAATTACCTTACATCTTTTACTTGATTGAGATGTTCATCGGTTGTTTTCAGCACAAATAAATGTTTTCCCATTTCATAGTTTGGTTATATTCTCCAGTACAAAAGTCGTCACCGCGTAATATTTTCGTAGTTATAGGTTCTGGTGATTATTACATTTAAGTTGGGGCAAACACAGACAGAGAGACCAGTTTGATTTCATTAGGCATGAGATCAACAGAGGCGATCGCAAGCACAGGTGACACTGTCAAGGCATTCATGGCCATAAGAGGGTAATGTACTGCTTTGCAACACACAGATCCATGCATGTTTCAAAACCGCAATCTGGTTCGGGCAGCACAAGTTCATTGCGACAAACCATTCCTCCATGTCTTCCTATCTCTTTATGGCTCAACCCCTCTGAAACATGTCAGAAAAAGTGAGAAATTGCTACATAAGTCAGCTTTGATAAAATCATATTAATTAATGAAATGTGTGGACATGGGTGCCAGTGCAGTTGCATGAGACCTGATGCAAAGGCAAGTGCAAGTAGAACCATGACTCTGAGGGTAATGGCTTCCCTCATCTTCAGAATCATGGTCACAGACAGTGCTTAATTTCTTCAAAGCACGAATGCAATTTACAAGAACAAATAAGAAGAGTGGAATAAGTAGAAGTAATTATACTCAAAGATGTTGTATTAATTACAACCATGCAATGCAATCTCAATGGGGTGATGATTCAGTTCTACAACACACTTCATACAATCATAAAGAAACAAACTTGTGTTCGAACAGTTCAACTTACTGACCAATTCTTGCTGCTGCATTCTAGTAAAGTCCTGTCTCTAACGTTTGGGTTTAATGCTATTTGGTTCACTTTTTATGTTTTTTGTTCTGCCACTGTAGCCAGATCTCCTTGTATCTGCTTAAACCACTTTCCTTCGGTTCACCAAAATTCCCCTGAATCGATAAAACGAGGAAACAGTCTTTTGTGCAAGGGGTTTCATTGGTTACAAATTCCCCCTACAATTTGAGAAAATACGTTCATATGATAAAAAATTAAATCTTCAGGTAGAAAAGAAATAGATTGCCACATCTTCCGTCACTATTTTGGTGCAGGTGAACATGATCCCCGGAATGATTCTTCCATGGTTGGAATATTAGAACATCTCAAAAAGAGCTGACAAATTCTGTATTTGATAAAAAGGTATAGGAGTAGTGATCTCCAAAAAAGAATGAAAAAGAACAAGAAAAGATAAACAGTCTCTTTCCAGAAGGGAACAGAAGCAAATATGCAGATAAATCATGAATCCTAACTATATTCCTGTCAAACGAAATTGAGGGGACAGTTGTGTGTGCATATATATATATATATATATATATATATATCGATCTTTTTTTGCCCATATCTAATTCCTATGAAACCAGTTTTTAGTTTGGAAAGAATAAAACACAAATGTTTACAGCCTAACCCTAACTGACCAGAAAGGTAATACGGGACGTATACATGAACGAGCAGAAGAAAGCAAGGGAAGGCAAACAAACAGGAATTCAAGCCTCCCTCTGGCTTTGAAGCCCATCACACATCCGAACCTTGAAAACAGAATTGAACAAATGGACCCTAACTCCCATTCCCCAGTTAGTTCTTAGCATGTCTGAGAGCTATGTTCTCTACCAGATACCTTTAGATTAAAATATTTTTTTGTGCAATAGGATCAGGATGCCACATTTCAGATCCAAACCAAATAACCTCACATACGGCAAACACCACATCAACTGACTGCATTTCGTAATTAGAACTTAGGCTTACATTGCACAAACCACTCAGTGTAAAAGCCTTCATAACAATATTTAAACCAAAACAAACAAACTACTCATATTGAACATCATATAATTCATCCCAAGTTTTAGCAGTTATAGAGGGAAAAAAACAGAAGATAATAAAAATCTTAAAATAAGGTCAAAAAACATGATTTGTTCCTGGCGGTAGGGTACAACTTCATCAGTCAAAGCCTCCAAAGGAGCAACCACCAATGGTCCAAGAGGCCCATCACACCGAAATTGCACTTCGTACAATCAGATCAAAAGTTTCTCAATGGCATCCTGAATTTTAAAAGTGACAGTAAAAGAATTATGAGCTGAATTCAACAAAGTTAACACTACTTGAATTCCACAAACATACAGCAAGAAAAATACCTTGAGTTGTTGAATTTGCGTTTTCAATTGACTCCCCTCATTTGTTGTCACAGAACAAGCAATGACAGGTCTTGTAACACCACAAGCTCGGCCAAGTGCTTGCTTTGAAGGTACAAATACATAGGGCACATTCTGCCAATTCAAATTAAAAAAGTTAGTTTGCTCTGTGCTTCCAGAAAGTCATTTACAAAATGGGAAGAAAAGGAGCACAAACATATAACAGCATAAATTCAAAAAATAAATCCCCACAAAACATTATTGCTCTGTAGTTAATTTTGGCTTCTCTAGGATTCAAACTCATGACTTTGACATAAAAGAGTAATCTAGAATATCTCCTCAAGCATCCTTTCTCAGTTGAAAAAGAAAGGCAAGTCGAAATCAAATCTCTACTATCATGAGTCAATGAACCAAGCTCTCTGAAGTCAATTTACCCTTTATTCATGTAACAAAGAACTAAATTGTGTAAATTTACTTCTTTCAAGGAAGAATTATAAGATATACATATGAAGGATTACAAGTAGCTTGGAACACTGTGTTCTAGACAGGTTATGCTTGAGGTGGATTCCAGCATGGCATTACATGTGATTTTGAGGATGGATGATGTTATCACAGAAACTACTCTCTCTTACGCAGTATAAGACTCGTAGCAGGGATTGGGTTGTTTAACATGCTGTGCTTGTATCATCAAGCTCATTCAGCAACAGATTCAATAGCAAATTATGCATGACTTCCAGTTCCACCTTAAAATTCCAGATGATGCTCATCGTGATTGTTTTAGCTTTCCGTAGAGTGATAGAAGAAGGTTTATGTTCCCCTCTCATGTCCTATTCAGTTACTTGTTCTATTTATCCATTGTAGCCAAAAAAAAAAAAAAAAGCTTCAAAAGCATAATAGATTGGCGTAAAAAAAGTTACAAAACCATAACCTAATCCATTGAAATTTATTCATCTTTAATCACAATTATTCAATTGGCATGATTGGAGATGAGTATATATGAACATGTTATATATAACCAACAAACGCATCCAAAACTAAATTAGTCGCAAAACCAGTTGTATACCAATAACCAGCAGAAAAGAAAAAAAAACCATCAGAAATCCAGTTAGATAAGCTTAATGGCATAAATCCCGAAAACCAAATTCTCTTAATACCATTAAGAACACAAGCCAATTTACAGACAACATAAATCACATCCAAAACAACAAAAACTAAGACAAAAAAGAAACAGCCAAAACCCATCAACAAAAAGTTAAAAAACTAACCTTATCTTCAGCAAGCAAAGGAAGATGGAGAAGAATCTCAAGTGGTTCAGTATCAGCAGCCATCACAACAAACTCGGAGATACCTCTGTTAAGTGTCTTAGTAGCTGAAAAATCATAACTTCATAAATTAAAAAACACAGACACATATAAATAACAAGTGCAGTAGCAGTTTTGACAAAGCTACCTTCATTAGCTCCTTTTTTGAGTTGCTTGTAATTAGCAGCTTGTTGAACAAGGTCAAGTATTGTTATTGTCAACTGGGCATCTGCAAGTGGGTATGCTTTTGGATTCACTGCTTCTACTGTCTGCAAAGCCAAACAAAACAGAACAAAATGAGATTTTTCCAGTTATCAAAACGAAATCTTTCGTAAACAACAATCGCCAGTTAGGAAGAGATGGAGAGTCTGAGAGGAAGTACCATTTTTTAGGTTTAGGGTTTTTCAACCAGGGTGGCTCTCGGCTTTTGGTGAATGTTAAGAAGGTAGAGGCTAGGGTTTTTGGTTTGAGTTTTAGCAGTTCGACAAGTAGAGGGTGCTTAGTATTTATAGGCACAAACCTCCTATTTAATCCTTAAGGTATATACATATTTTCAATTAAGTCCCAAATAAAAAAGTTTGTCAATTGAACTCATATGTTTTAAATTGTCTCATCAATTGGGTGTTTCTTTCAATGTCAGTTAATATTATCCACCTGTTTTGAATATGTTATGTAATAAAATAACGCCATTTTAGAAAATAATTTGCAGAAAAATAACAAAATTTGATAGGAAAATCCAATTGAGAAATATCTAAAATAGCTTGGACATACTTTTTTTAGAGTTAATTGAGATTTAGGTGATACATTAGGGGCTGATTTAAGGTTTTTCTGTTTATAACTTCTTTGTTGATGTGGCTAAATCGAGACCATTAGTTTTTCACTGAATGACGTTGGCCTTTGGATTGTGATTGTTAAGCTAATGAAATAGCGACATTTTACCTATTTTGACCTTGTTTTTCTTTTTTATTTTGTAAGATTAATGAAGGCGTTTCCTAATTCTAGACTTTATTTATGTACGAATTAAATAAATGTTCCATGTGTACATGCTTATTGTTATTCGGGAAAAAAAAAGTTTAACAGCGATTGATATATAAATTAACTCGAAGATAGATTATTGTTAAATTAAAAAAAAATTACATGAAACATTAGGGAAGAAATCATTGAATATTTACCATACCTTGTAAATTAACTCCAAGATAGATTATTGTTAAATTAAAAAAAATTATATGAAACATTAGGGAAGAAATCATTGAGTATTTATCATACCTTGTAATTGATCGACCATCAACTTAACATTAGTAAATTTTATTTCATTACCTAATTTATCGAATTACTTTTTTTCAAATTTCATTTTTTTATTTTTACTTTAGCTTTAAAAGTTTTTTCGATAATTTTTAATTGTTTTTCTTTCTTTCACAATATGTATTTTTATTCTTCAAGTTATTTTCAAGATTTGTATTTTTAAGGGAATATATATAAGAGTTTATGGACTTGATTTTAGGATCTATGAGAACTACATTCGAGAAACTGCCCAATATATAGGATAATTAATTGAGTAGTCATTTTTTTAACTCAAAAACTTTTCATTATTCTTTTTTTTTAAAAAAAAATTAGAATTGGATGCAAAAATATTTTTTTACTCGTTCTCAAGGGAATTCCCTAGCAATTAACACCTTGAATTTCCATTAAAACATATTAGGTTCAAACTTTTCAAAGAGTGGGTTAGGGATTTCAAATTTTGGGGAAGGATTATTGTTAATTCTATAATCCAATACCTCTTATCCTTCTATTGAAAAAAAAACCCTTACAATATATAATATATATTTATTCGATGATATATAGTATCATGGAATCGGTTTATGTGTGAATTAAAATTAAATATCATATTCAAACGATTTTAAAAATACGAGATGTAGGTGGATTTATAGAAACCTTTAATTCAATTCAATTCAATTTTTTTATTGTCTTTTGATTTTTTAAAATATTTGTTTATTTTTTTACCTTATGGTCTATGCGAGAAAATTATGAGCTTTGCACTACATAATGAGAGTAGCATTGGTATTGAGTGTGTTTGACAACAAATTTACAGGGAAAAGAAAATAAAAAAGAAAAAAATAACCCAATAAGCATATCCCGCTTGTTCAATCCGGTCGTAGCAAGTGAGAGGCTCATAACGAGCCTCGCACGCGGATCGACTTAACATTCTTCGATGTATGTTTGCTATAAAGGCGTGCAATAAGGTGCATGAGAGACTTAAGGATAAGGCAAAAGCTGGAGAAAACAAGCAGCTTAAAACAAAATTGTCCTTCAAGCATCTTCTAGAAATGACAATCCAAGCAATCTCATGATTTTTCATTCCAAAAATATTTTGAATCAAACAACCCTAATGAACGAGTGGTAAAAAAAAGCCATTAACGGGATGTAATAGTTAAAACTTTTTTGTAAAGATTTGCAAAATTAATTTCTTTTATTATTCAAGACCAATTCAATATGTTTAGCAACCATACAGTTCGAGTGCGGGATGGGAGTACATCAATTCCTATAAGAAAGACCTCTTGATCATTAATCTAGCGTAGGAGATGAATATTCTTTTCTTTCTTGCTACACAAAAGTTCACTACTCATAAACATTTGCTTCATATTACCGTTAAGGCATTCTCTATCAAATGGTGCACACTCTTCTCATGCTTTAATGGTAACTTTTTCCCTCAATCTATTACAATTTCATAATTTCAAGCTCATAGTACCAAATAGCATAATTTGAACCCAAAAGTATTAGAGATTAAGCGAGATTGATCTAATTTTTTTAATTGGCATTAAATGTAACAATCGATGCAATTGACCGTTATTATTGTCATTTATTTTTTATTTTTTTTAATCGTTAACCTAAAACTAAGTTTGGTTAGATTATGGATGTAAGGTATCAAACCAAAATTTTTGCAATGGTCCCGAGGAGAGAGGGAGAGAGAGGGAGGGAGAGAGGGAGAGAGAGAGAGAGGAAGCCTTCTACAATTAAAAGGGTTAGAGAGCACTCGAGAGAGAGAGAGTTGGCAATGTTATCTCGACTATATACCTAAACATGAGAATGGTATTGCGAGGAGAGGGGATATATAATTTTAGGGTTTTATAGGTTTTTTCTATCCGATTGAATTGGGGGTAGAATTAGTTATGACATTTTCAATTTTTAGAAATCTTCCTTAAATTTGGCCTCGTGATTGTGAGATTTCTTGGCTTCTCATTCTTCTTCTTCCAAGTACTTTAAAAGTATGTAATGTGGAAGACATATCTTTATTGTTCATTCAAAAACTTTAGTATGATTATCCGGAGGATTGTCCTATGAGATATTACAATTACGAACTCCGACTCCTTAATAGACTTCATGGAGTGATGATAATCCAAGAAAGTTCTTTACTCGTCCCAAATTCAACATACGAGATGACGGTAAAAAAATGAAATTACTTTCATTTTTAAGATCCAATGGTGAGAGGAATAATAAGAAATATAATTAATGTTTTGACGTATACTAAAAAAAGGCCAGCTATTGAGAATAAGCGTTTGCTTAAAGAAAATCTAGCTCTAAAAGAGAAGATTGGCAATGGTAATGAAGACAGAGAGAAGAAATATTCTTGATGTAACAATTGTGTTGGTTATCCGGTTGTAATTATTGTTATGTTAGCATGATTACTATTGGTTAAATAGTATATTATTGAGAATAGGTTAATGTTGATTGGGTTTTATTAAATTTATAGGGTTTGTTGAATGTGTTCTAGGTAATCTGTAGTAGGCAATATATGTACCAGTTTAAATCTTAATATTAAATTTATAAGGTTTAGTTTTATTGTTATGTTGATGTTCGTGTAAATTTTAGTTTAATGTTAAGGAACATGTTCAATTGACTATTAACTTTTGTGTCCGTTTGTTCTTAGCTTATCCTAACAAAAAAATAAAGGTGAAAAGAATAAAATTATATTCCAAATTATAATATTATTTGATGTTTATATGACTTTCATTAACTATGATCTCGGAATTTTATATGGATGATAATTATGAATTTTTCACTTGCAATGTCTAGTACGAGAAAAGTTGAAAAGCATAGCTAAAAATTTAATGGAGATTAATTATTTTCTTATCATTTTGCCCTAATTTTGATCAAACAATTGAAGCTCATATATATATATATATATATATATATATATATATATATATATATATATATATATATATATATATATATATATTTTTTTTAAGAACAATTCTCAGTAATCGATGATGAATCAAAGTTCAATTTTGCAGATTTAAAGTTGTTCTTCAATTCTAGAGAATTGTTCAATTTTAGAGACTTGTTGAAAAATTCTCTAAAATTGAATGAATTTATCTTGATTATGGAGAATTAAAGAACAAATATATAGAATTGATGAACAATAATTCTGCGAATTAAATTTCGTTTTGCAAATTTGAAGTTATTCTCTAATTATGCAAAATTGTTGAAAAATTCTTCGAATTAAATGAATTCATCTTCAATTCGTAGAATTAATGAACAACGATTTTGTAGAATTGAAGTTCGATCCTGCAAATTTGAAGTTGTTTTTCAATTTTGCAAAATTTTCTTCAATTCTAGAGAATTGTTAAACAATTCTTCGAATTGAATAAATAAATTGAAGAACAACTTGCGGAATTAAAGAACTACAATTCTACAAAATTGAACTTCAATTTTACAAATTTTAAGTTGTTCTTCAATTCTTTAGAATTTTTAGCAATTATCCAAGTATTGAATGAATTCATCTTCAATTCCGCGAAACTTCATGTCTTCATAATTGAATGAATTCATCCAAATTAAAAAATAATTCCGTAGATTTAAAGTTGTTCTTCGATTCCGCAACTTCAAATCGTAGAACGTTCTAGAAAATTGTTCAACAATTTTCTAGAATTAAATGAATTCATCTTTAATTCTCGAATTGAAGAACAATTACAACTTCAATTCTTTTGAATTGTTGAACAATTCTTTAGAATTGAAGGAATTCATATTCAATTCTAGAGATTACTTCAATTTTTCGAATTGAAGAACAAATATGTAAGGCAAACCATTTTTCACACATGGCCTCAAATTCACAAGAATTGAAGAACAATCATTCAATTATCAAAGTCTCTGTAAGCATAAAGAATTCTTTAAAAAAGAACAACACATTAACATAACTAAAATTTGATCCATTAACAATAAAATTAGTCAAAAATCATTAATTACACATAATTCTCATTAATAAAATAAAAAAATTGATCCATTATATATCATTAACTATTCAAAATACATAAGTCATTTTCATTTTCCTCTCAAACAACATGTATTTGGTATTGATTTTTTCTTGGTCGTCCTTTCGTTTTGACAGGC